TCAATTTACAAACTTTAACAACAAATATCTTAAAAACTATAAGCCTCCTTCGGCTAAGAATCAATCAGTAGAACTCCCCCTACCCCACCCCCCCCCATAGGCACTTTTTTCGTACGCGGGGGATGCCAAACTAAAATTTTCCCAAAATATGTGAAGTAATGGGAAATTTTAACAAATAACTTTAAAACTGTTAGCATTTCTACACAAAATGTTGAAGATGTCGGTCAATGAGCACTTCCTCAACACCCCCTGCGAATTTAATTTAAAAAATCGCTATACTTTGCCTGAAATAGGAAATGGTCCTTTTTTGTATATCTCAGCAATTAATCATACTTACGTTGTCCGTGTGGATACATTTTCCCGATTTACACCTATACTTAGTATGTTTTTTTATTAATTTTTTCTTTTGTTGTGCTAAATTTTAAAATGAGTCTCGTGTTTTCGTGTTGAGTTGTTTTGTTATTTACATTTGAAACTTGATCTTTTATAATTTCACATTAGCTTCTGCACAATCGCTTTTATTGCTAAATAAATATGTATTTCAGCCTTCTTTCTATCACTTAAATTTTGGAATTCGTTTGGTTTGTGTTATTTTTTATTCTATGTGATGAAATTTATCCAATAATTGGATGCCTGAACAGTTTTCAAGAGCACAAAATTGTGGCTGTACCTCGAGAGATTATAAGTTAGTGATGACGTAGATTTTATGCCGAACTGAATATTCTCAGATAAATATGCACTTTTGTTATCGAAAACTTTAAGTTTAATGATCAACTATGTTTTCACTGTTCCTTTTGTAGTAATCTAGAACACAATCTCAGGCACAATATGCATTAGATATATATATTGTATATGTATATATTTCCAGTTTTCTACACAATCGTGTTTCTTCGTTTGATTGTAAGTAAAAATGCTTTGAGAATCGTTTGTTTATAACCGGGAAAGGCTGGCACATTTGTACATTGCCCGTAACTTTGGACTGGCTTTGTGGTAGGAATGCGTCTGGCACTTTACCCTAAATGGCAGGTAATAATGAAATGGAACACAGTAAAAGCTCAATTTTTGCGAAATTACGGCTTGGTTTATCGACCTCTGCTACTGATCTACAGCTGCAGATTTCCTATGCCCGTTTTGGCTGCTGCTGCTACTGACTGGGACTCCTTTGATCTGAACATACGACATACAAACTGACTGAAGACGTAAAAGTAAAAAATGTGCTCTGCTAATTTTGTTTCCTTTTTTTT